TATGTTTTAAAGATCTGTCTAACTTACCTATCCCTAAAGGAACTTGATCCTTCAGCCAATTTTACTCTTCCTTGAATTTGCATTCTGCCATCTTATCTCTGTGCCTTTCTTCATGCTGCCTAAAATGTTCACCAACATGCCCCTATTGGAATACCAGGCATTGTCAGTCCTGTGCTAAAGAACCACCTTACTTACAGGTGCTCTCTCTTTAACCTTACCAGCAAGAAGTAATTCTCTTCTCCTTCCTTCCTTATGTATTCTAGTAATACTTAATTATTTAATTCATTCTGCTTCCCTTTAATCATGTAGGGGGAGAGAAAGTGAAAGAGACATTCCTTACATATGCATAGATACACTGTGTCCCTCTTACCACTTAGGTGGTGATGTGTTGTAATCTGGTTGACAGGGCTGTTAAATATCTTTGCAAACTTTTCTGTCTCCCTCCTCCCCTCACTCCCTCCCTCTATTTCTCCATCTCTATCTCTTCATCTCTCTCTCCACAAACACACTCACACACAGAGCTAAATGCACCTTGTATACAAATGGGGTTTTATGTTAATTGAAATAGAATGAAATCTCATGAAACTCTATTAGTCTGATGAAGTTCCCATTATTGTAGCAAGCACCATACCAGTCAGTAAGTTGTTTTATATTGGGGTGGGGGAAGTTATTTTTATTGTGAAAAAACAAAACAAAACCCTACATATTTCTTGAATTTGAATCACTTTTAAATTCTAACTAGCTGATAATCTAGTAATTGAATCATTTTTATTATATGAAACTACAGTGATATCTTTGTTGAGATTAGAAACCTTTCTTTAGAGGATATATGAGAATATCATGATGAACATTTGGGCCAGTGATCTTTTGGAGCCATGAACCTACTTTTAAGCAAATGTCCCATCTGTCTTACCTGATTATCATTTCTTACCTTAAATATGACAAGTTATGTGTACTATGGGAAGTAATTTAGTACTAAGTATATTTCTAGCCAGGAGAATTCTTAAGTTTTTCCTAAGGACTGAACTTAAGTTTTGAATGATCTACCGTAAACTGGAAGCATATGATCTCCCCAGTTCACTCTGGTCTCACTATTTTATTTGTGGTGTAAAATGCTGAAGTCTGACATCTTTTTCTTGAGATTGGTTTAATCGCCAGAAGCTTGAATGCAAATATCTAATACATAATAATGGGAAAGTTAACAAATTAGCTTTCAATGGACCTAGTAGAAATTTATCCTAATCCATTATCATGATTTATTTAGATAGTTTGCTGTCTCTCTATCCAACCCCTACTCATATACATAGATATGGATAGCCCCCATAAAACTATGACAAGACCAATAATCCATTTGGAATATTACAGCTGATTAATCATCCATAACTATATGTCAAATATTTGCCTCATTTTTACTCTTCTCCCCTGATTTTACATTGTACCTCTAACTTCTCTTTTGCCCTCACTTTCCGTAACACATTCCTATGGATGTTAATGTCTTCTCATACTCTTGTCCTCTGAAAGCTTCTATTCAATCAATTATTTGGTACATTTCAGACTTACACATGTTAGCCTTCAACTGGCAGGGCGTGGTCTGTTATACCTAATAAAACCCATCTGACTTTATCTGAAAATGGACATTTTCAGACATCCCACACTTCCCTTAAAACCTTAATGGCATTTCTTCTTTCCTGATTCTTACATACCAATAACTAATTCCAACCTGTTATTTCAGCCTCACTTCTCACCTGTCCCATATATCACACCCTACAAACTGGACTCCTCGACATTTCACAAACTGTGTTTCCTGCCTCCCAGCTTTATTGAGTCCATTCTTCCTTTCTACAGTGTCCTAACCCCCACTTCTGAGAGTTCTCCATCTTTTAAAGCATTGAGTTCTGAATTTGGGGAGTCCATAAACTCTGAGAAAATGAATCTAAAATTTTGTAGACTGTTCTTAAATACATTTTTCTAAGTAGAGGGGTCATAATTTCTATCACATCCTCAGAAGCAGACTAAGACTTCCTCAAAAGTTAATGAATAAAGAAGTTTTCATTTTCTTCTACATGTATGAACTACTCTTTTATTTTTGACACATATGGCTTTGTTTAATTTTACATTTGTACATACATATGCCATACCCTGTATCTCTTGCCAGATTATAATATCCTTGGGTTATGAATTTTTTATCACAATTCCCTGCACACTGTGTAATATATGATGGGTGCACAGGCACTGTGTAATAAATTAAACCTATCTTGTAAAAAATAGATCAGGGCTGTGATTCTTTCATGAGATAAGAATTATCTTCAATGTTTTCATTGAATAAATATGATAAATACATGTTATGTATTTTTTGTATGCTTTTCTGTAATTCTTATCTTAGCTAGGTGGTCATTAAATGTTATGGCTTCTATTGGGACTAATTAATGCCTCAGAGAACTCATGGGTATTTGGATCCTGTGAGCTTCCAAGTGGGTCCCAGTGCACTTGCTCAGAAGCTGGTCCTCTGATTCAATCAACTTCTATTTCTTGCTTGTCCTGTTTTCCCATGTTTCCTCCTTCTGTTGCTTGCCTCTCCAAACTCAGCATGGGCCTAAGTCAGGGCAGAATATTTCTACAGCCAAAAGAAATAGTTCATTTTAAAAATATATATATTTTTATTGATTTCAGAAAGGAAGATAAGGTCAAGGTTAAAAAATCAATGATCAGAAAGAATCATTGATCGGCTACCTCCTGCACACCGCACACTGGAGATTAAGCCCACAACCCAGGCATGTGCCCTGACCAGGAATCTAGCCATGACCTCCTGGTTCATAAGTCTATGCTCAACCACTGAGCTATGGCAGAAAGAGTTCATTTTTTAATTCTGTATTACAAAGGGACAAAAGGAGCTAAAATTCTCAAGGTCCAAGTAATTCTAGAAAGTCGGCATATCTCTAGGGAGCCCAGTTTGAACCAAGGCATTTTCTGGACTTTATGACTCCCTCAAAGCTCTTCAAAAGCTGGCCCAAAATGAGAGGAACACTTCCTAATACCCTGGCCCTCTCGGGAATGTCTGGAAATGTGAGATCACTGTAGAGTAGCAACATAGCAATAGAAGCAGATCATCTAACTTCTCTTCTTTTCTTCTGAAAAATAAGTGCTCTTTTATCCAATTTTAAATTACTGATTAATAAACCCAGACATGGATTTCTCGCTCATTGTTGCTCAACTATTACATTCCTGATAGTTTTGACCTTTCATCTAAATGTATAAAATTAAATGATACAGATCATATTATTTTTATTTAAGACACTGAACTCTAACCTCAAAATTTTCTCCCTCAAACTCTAATGAAACTGTAGGTATTTTGGCAAATTAAACTTTTGGGCAAATGCTTCCTAGAAGTGATTGAAAGTTATTTCAGCTTTTTAAAAATGTTTTCTAAAAGAAGAGTATTTATTGATGCCCTTTTAAGAGATCCTTTATAATTTTACAGTATAACATTTCAGTGAAATGTTTGTTTACTCATTAAATTTCTGTTACTCTTTCTGTATTGTATCGTGTTTCACTTGCACAATATCACTTCAGGTTATTCTCAAGTATTAATGATAAACTGCATTAACATCCCATTTGGCAGAGAGAAATGTTTTAGAACCCAGTTTACTTAATTTTGTGATCTAAAAAATGTTAACAATAGAATAAGACATAGTATTATATCTTATGAATTAATAAAAGTATAAGAAGAAGAACCAGTCACTTTGAAAATAATAGAAAATAAAATTAAAACGATTAAGTCTCATGTTTAGGAGAAAATTATGTATATTTGAGACTGAATGTCTGTGTATAAAGTATTCCACCACTAAGAAATTTGAAAAAAATACTTTGATATGGATATTGTCATCCTTTCTCTTTTTTTGTGGTGGGAGTTGGAAGTTTATTAACATTTCAAGGAGTCATTAATGTCCTTAACCAATGGAAATATAAATAAGTTATCTTTACTTTAAAGGATTAAATATTTTTATAACTTCTTATATTGAATTATTTATTTGATCAGGTGGTAAAAATAAAAATAATGATATGGATTTTCTCTCTTAAATAATATAATGTGATTTTTATTTAACTTTAGTTAAGGTTGTTAATATAACCTCACAACCAAATACAGAGTGTTCAGAACCAAATTATAGTACATGCTTTATAGTAGGAGCTGATGGATAGATATCTCTAAATATGAGGTTATTGGGAGCACATCTCATATCATTGACACCTGCTACTTAATTAAGGTGTTAGATTGCTCATGTGCTGAGATTACATGGAATAAAACCTGCTGTGGTTGTCCCTTTTCTTTCTTGGCTCTGAATTTTTTTTCTCTTCTATGTTCTATTTCTTCTGTCATTTATAATAGCTCCTTCTCACCACCACATCCTAAAGCATAATGTAGGCACCCTGATTACATCTTAATGTTTGTTCATACTAATGACCCTCCACTTCCAAATTTTAATACAGAGAGTGGTGGATAGATTTAATAGTTTTTGAACATTAATGAAGGTGTCTTTGCACATTTGCATTAAAATACTAATGCATATTAAACAAAATCTGCACCATAATTTTTCTTTTATGAGAGAATAGAACAGAAATTAAATACTCTTCAGGTGGGAGAAAATTTAGACAGGGTGCTTCCAATCCCACATCTTGATTTATGAAAGTCAAGAATGTTTTCTCAGAGCTGGAAAAATCCATTGGGGTCCCTGCTCCTCTGGTCTCCATTCTGATTATAATTAGAGAATGTTTTTTAAAAAAAGGTTTACTTTTGTAATTGGACTTATTATTGGTGTGCATATTTTTATTTTATTCTCTGGGGGTGGGGGAAGATGGTGGACACACAGTTCTGATGAGATATTCATTTGCCACCATTCAAGAAGAAATTGAACTTTAAAAGTCTATCAAAAATTCTCTGGGGAGCCTTTTATTACTATCTTGTCTTGAGCCCTTTTTTTTTTTTTAATGACATCTATTATCAGATTGAAATGGCGATTGAGACGCTGCAAAAGTCTGACGGTCTGTCCACTCACAGAAGCTCTCTTCTCAACAGCCATGTAAGTTGCCTCTTCATGTAAACTAATCTCTTGCTTGTTCTGCATGTGTTGCTTGCTTCTAAATGCTTGTTTTATTTATTTACTTATTTATTTTGCTTCTTAACCTTTCTTTCTCAGCCACTAAGATCTTTGTATCACTTAATGGCTATTTTGTACAGTGGAATATCTAAAAAGTAGAGTCCCAAGTATACTGCTTGACTAGGTTTTTGTACTGTTTTGATACAAATATAACATTTCCAAGTTAATAACAAGCTGCTGTTTTATTTGTAAAATGTAATTAATGGGAATATTAAACATTTAAACTTTTCTATTTTAATATTTATTTACTGTGAAGCAAATGCTTATCTGCATCTATCTCTGTCTGAGACAGAGATACGATTATGTCTACTTGTATGTCCAGTAATATTCTTTAAGTGGAAAAAAATTATTAATGCCAAACCCAATGGTAAACTGTTTGAAAATGACTTGCTTATCAGAAAGACTATGTAAAATGGGCAGGAAGCAGCTGCTTAGAGAAGCTCAGGGCCTAAAACCTAAAGAAAAATGAAACTGGGCCAAAAGAAAAAATGAGGCTGTAGATAAGTCATAAATTGCTAATATTTGAGACAAAACAGGAATAGTGTACTATTTCTTGAAGCTTCTAACTGTTATCTGATGTAGCAGCACTACAACACTGGTAAGTGCAAGAGGAGTGATGATAGTTTTCTGGAACTAGAAACATTGTCATATAATGTTCAAATTTTGGGAACCAATGAAAACACTGAATAAAAATAATTTTGTTAATCTGATTTCTGACTAGTAAGTAAATATACCTATGAACTGAATGTTTTAGATAGATCTTCTGCTAAATTAATATCAACAGCAATATAGTAAAAATTAGTTTTCCCTCCCAACTGACAACATGTATATTCTTAAGTTTAGAGATAAGTTATGAGTTTTAAAATTTTTTCTTCATATTTCATGACTGAAAAGCCCAAAATTAGATTACCCAAAATAAATTTTAGAAATATAATTATTCTTTTAGTAAACCTAAAACCTTTGGCTAATAGAAAATAAAATTTCAGAAATACCATTATTCTTTCAGTAAATCCGAAACCTATGGCTCAGAAAATGTTTTCACTGTGCTTTTTAAAGATTTGAATTTTAAGATTTAAATTTTATATTTCAACACAATCCTAAATGCTATGTATTTACATAGTTGTTTTTAGATGAAGTACTTTGTCTTGTTTCTTTTCCAAGAGGAAGTATCATGGCAGATAAAAACAGTTTAGCCAACTTGGAGAATGCCTGCAATTTTTGGTGAAAATTTTAGGTATAACTTTTAATATAACATACTTTTGACCCTTCTTTTTAAACACTTTAAGGAATATAATTTTTTTCCTTTTCTGAAAATTTCTGTGCAATGTGTTATTCTTTTATAGGTTTCTTAAGTATATCCTTTTTGTGTTAGCATGAGTCTGTGGCTGTGAGTAAAGACTAATTTATTGTGTCATTAGGTTATATGTTTTTGAGGGTGGTGATGAATAACAGGTGTTTGTGGTATGAAAATGGCACATGAAACTGTTGTTTACTTTTAGTCAAAATATCCAGGGACTCAAGGAAAAAAACCACTGATGTTTCCAGTTATCTTTTTTGAAAGTCTAGAAATCTAAGTTGTGCTTTGATATTCAATTCGCATTTCATTTTCATTTCAGGTATATTGTTTAGTAAATTATATGTTTAATTTTAACTTGAGTTATTCATCTTAGTATTTTCTTTTTTTAAAAGAAATTGTGTAGTTGTTTGTTTGTTTTTTAAATATATTTTATTGATTTTTTACAGAGAGAAAGGGAGAGAGATAGTTAGAAACATCGATGAGAGAGAAACATCGATCAGCTGCCTCCTGCACATCTCCTACTGGGGATGTGCCCGCAACCCAGGTACATGCCCTTGACCGGAATCGAACCTGGGACCTTTCAGTCCGCAGGCCGACGCTCTATCCACTGAGCCAAACCAGTTTCGGCCATCTTAGTATTTTCATGAACAATAATGTGGGCATAAGAATTTTTGTATAATTTTATTTGTTGATTTGTTAGAAACTTTTCAAAGAGGTTGGGGTTTTTTGAAATTATTATTTTCTTCTAGAATCTGTGAAGTAATATTTAGTGTTAATGAACGTGTGAATTAAGCTGCATAAACAACAGTTAACTGTTAGTTATGCTTTGGCTTCATTCTTTTTTTTTACATAGCATGACAAATCTTCCATATTGTTTACAGCTGCCAGAGTCATTTAAGTATGTAGAGAGAGTGGGCGTAAATATTGCTAATGCAGTAATAATCTTTCTCTTGATGTCCTGATTTGTTTTATTACACTTCTGAGATACAGTTACATTCATTTAAAAGCACATTTATAGATAAGTCTTTAACAATCAAATGATTCTACAAATGATCTGTAAAGAGCAGAGAAAGGATCAGTGTTCTGACCAGTCAGGTTTCCTTTCTCCATGAGCCCAGAAGACCGTGTTGTCTTTCTGTTCTTAGGAAGTTAGTAATGCTCCTAATTCTTGTTAGATTTATCTAACAAGTAGAGTAAACTACTGCATGCATTCTACTTGAAAACCACCGGCTAAGGGTATTTTAAATTCTGTTAACCTAATTCGTAATTTTCAGTTGTGTAGAAAAATTTTAGTAGAGAGGTATTTTAAAAATGAAATATTGTTAATAGAGTTGGTTGTCTCACTGCCAAGACTGATATAGAATTATTTGAAGTTTGTGGGATTCTTTGAAGAAGACAAGAATTCATCTTTATGGTAATAGTTCTTTGATCAGTTTCTACAAAGGATCAATTTCATTAGACAAAAAGTTAAAAGAAGTTGTTGATAATTTGTGTCCCATATTTATCAGTTTCTAAAGAAGGTTCTTAATCATGATTTCTTAGCTCACAATTTGTCGTCATTCTATTTTGAAATATGGACCTGAACAGATTTCCTATTTTCTGTTCATGCACTTGATTACTCATACTAATTCAGAAAATTTCTATTAGAGTTAATTCAGAAATAATGCTCTCAGAAAAATCCAACTTGATTGCTTTGATTTTCATCTTTCTGCACATGAGACGATGGAGTGGGATATTCAATTTTGTATCCCTTTTTCAGCATATCCTGGAGAGTCTTGGGTACTGCTGCTCTACTTTTATAATTATGTTGTTATCATCCAAGTTGAAATGCATGTCTGACTTGTCTGTTTTATAGTCTTTATGATGTCCCACCTGTGACAGTACAGTTACACCAAATGCCATGTTTTATTCTATTAACAATAATAGCATAGTTACATTTATTTCACTAGTAGCATCTTATAGACAAACAGAAAGTATCTATTGATGAGTGAAAATTCCAAGAGTGTAAGGATTTTATATGTTTTGTGCACTGATGCATCCCTGTTGTCTAGAACAGTGCCTGGTACATTGTAGATGCTCATTAACTATTTGCTAAATGAATGAATGTAAGAAACAAGTAGTAGAAGGGAACAGGCCTTATTTTACGTCCAGTATTCTGAGTACCTTTACCAATCAAGTAAAGGGAACTTATATATGCACTATAGGCTTGGTGCACAAAATTCGTCCGCTGGGGTGTGGGAGGGGTCCTTCAACCCACCTGTGTGGGTCAGGCCTACGCAAGCAGTCAGACATCCCTCTTGCAATCTGGGATCCCTCGCTCCTTACCACCTGCCTGCTTGCTGCTCCTTACCACACAGCTCACTTCTCCTTAGCGCTGCAGCAGAGGCAGGAGAGGCTCCCACCACCGCTGCTGCACTCACCAACCGCAAGCCTGGCTTCTGGCTGAGCAGTGATCCCTCTGTGGGAGTGCACTGACCACCAGGGGGCAGCTCCTGCATTAAGCATCTGCCCCCTGGTGGTCAGTGCACATCATAGGGACTGGTCGTTCTGGTTGTTCCTCCTTAATGGTCGCTTAGGCTTTTATTACATAGACTAGAGGCCCGGTGCACAAAAATTCGTGCACTCGGGGGGAAGGGGGGTCCCTCAGCCTAGCCTGTGCCCTCTCG